TCTCTGAACATTGCAGGAATAGAACAACACAGTCTGAGGGTTATCAAGAAAAAATAATTTAGATATATAAAGCAAGAGATAAGGGGAACAGAACTTTTTTGATCAAATACTGCTGCTTTACAGTTATAATCAAAGAAAAGCATAGATCAGCATTTTTGAATTATAATCTATGAACCAAGTATGTAACAAAGCAGAGCAGCTGTGAAAACTGGGGTAGTGGGATCAACATTGTTTTAACGATTACTCAGACATGCATGATACCAAAACAAATTGGGTTTGGGAGTTTGTAAAGAAGAGGAGGAAACAAATACATGATTAAGAATAGATGTGGAATAATATCCCATCCTCTTTGTAAAGGGAATATTTAATAGAACGCTGACAATTGGTGCGAGGCAAACCGCGTTATATTGTTTACTTCACACTTGGACAAATCCAGAGAGAATCAATATGGCTGTCAGACCCATTTATGCACTGCGCCCGGAAGGAAATATCAAACCAAAGCGTGGAAATGTGTTGCCAAAAATTACATGTTTGTACAAAGATTCATGAATCTGTTGCTGGGTCGTAATAGTGCAGTTTACTAATGCTGTGGCTTCTCCTCTGCAGGCCACTTCCTCCAGTCGAGTTTCCATAAAAACAGAACTCCCTCCTCCTGTCTGCGTGAATGGGCCCTAACAGAGATATTCAGGCAGCACAGAACGGCCCTGTTCTCCGCCGGGATCTGTCCCCAGCTTCCTGAAGGTTTTATATAACTTTACTTTTATTTATCAGTGATATCGTTAAATTGAATCTTTATATTATTACTTTGTCATCATAGGATAGTACCTGAGATGAATGTTTATTATTTTCAAAGCTCTGAATGGGAAATGGGTGAAAAAAGGAAAGTGATTTCTAAAGAAGGATTGTGTATCTGTGTCATCAACGTTCAAAATCCAGGGACTTTTTCAGTGCAAGACTGACCTTACATTCTGATTATACTGTATTGCAAAATGAAACCATGTAGCCTTCTCACTGTGGTAGTTTCATGGTGGTATACTGGTATGTACTGTATCATTTCACAGTTTGTAGCTTGAAAACTTAAAAATATTTCTGGTTTCACCCACCCCCTATTGATGCCCACAATCTGCATACAAAATAGTTTTCTGAATCATACACATTGGATTCACAATTATTCAGTCAAATATAAATAGAAAATTATTGTGATGAAATGTTGCTATAAAGAGGGAGAGCCGATCTGTTCCACTTATTTCAGAGTAGAACTGTAGCACGTTACAAAAAGTTGATCCGACGTCACTTCTGGAGTTACCCTCTCGTTCAGTCATTTAAATGAAAAAGTTTGTTTGCAAATCTACTTTCACTTTCACTGCATTAGTGACATGAGTGCTACTATTTAGGGCTTATTCAACATGACCAGAGTAACGGTCGGAGGCGAACGGTGAACCACATTAGTAATGCTAACAAAGTGGAGCTTACTGGGAAGCACAGTGGGGGTGCCAAAAGAACCACTACACCTAATGACATGTGGATCAAAACAAAGAAAATAGCTTTTATCCAGTAAAGAATCCAAAACACGTTCGCTACTTAAAAAATATATATGAGGATATTCCCAAATTTTAGGAAAGAACTGTCCTCTCCACTTTTTGAACGAAATTCTCCGGTCTAATTTGACGAGCACGTATCACCAGAATGATTGACAATTGGGCGGACAAATAGTCTTGATGATCCACTCGGAAGTATATAGTCCTTCTATTTACCTTTAAGGAAGAGTGAAGTTAGCTGTTAGCTGTATAACTTATAGTTATACAAAGACAAGACTGAGAGCAAAATACACTTGACGGGATACAATCTAATTCCTTTCTGAGAGTCTGAATAATAGAATGTGCAGCAGAATATGACTAAACAACAGAAAAAAATGATTTGTAGTAAACAAAACTTGAATGAATTTTCTGTAAAAACAACTATCGGTGTGAAAAGGATCATGGATGAATGTCACCTTTAGATTAATGTTGACGAGAGAAATAAGTCATCTACACGTTCAAACGTCTTGGTGATTCATATCCTGTCGTGAATATAAAACAAATGCGTGGATCACTGAGGCGAGAGTAGAGGAGACGCCTCGGGGTCTAATTTGAACCATACAGTGGCCCCTCTCTGCAAAGTCATGTGGCAGAGGGGTAACAGGACCCCCAACTCAAACGGGACAGGCAGGGTTACCACACGCACCAAAGTGTTAGACAGATATGAATGGACCAAAGGACTGAGGGAGGAGAGCCGGGAGAGAAGGCGCCAAAACAAGAGCTATGTCAATGTTTTGGTATGTGCTTTTATGTGTATATGCATATATATTTTACTGCATGAAGTGAAATATGAATTGGGCAAACAAGCTTGTGTCAAATGAGAAAATTTGTGATTGCCGTATTTTTAAAATCCACATGATTTTTGTCCATAACTATTATCTCCAGGATTGGGAAGTGAAATAATGGGTCTGGTGGTTTCTTATCAATTATATGATGGATTATTGAAAAAGACAGTTCTATTACACATGCATTCAGAGAAAAAAGTAGACTAGGTTAATTTATCCACAAAGCAACACAATACAAGAAAAAAACATTAATCCTCACATTTGGTGCATGATCCAGTGCAAAAAGTACTAACTCTGCATGTTTAAAATCCCATAGACCTCCCAGTCTTTTCTGCCACAAGTCATCTCCAGCACTTCTCCTTTGAGGCCTTTAGACATCACTCCATAAGTCATTGGAGTCTCCCCTCCAGGGCCATTGATAGGGCTTATTAACCACAACAGGACAGTGCCTCCCTCCCCCTCCCTCCCTCCCTCCCTCCCTCCCCCTCCCTCCCTCCTCAGCAGGTAACAGGCAAAGTTCACCAGGGAGGGGGCACATGCAGATTCCTCACATGCTTCTACAGTACACCTCAGTCCTCCAGAGCGAGCGAATAGCTGGGATGCCTGCATGATGAGCTGGAGCCCCAAAGAGAAGGGCTAAAAAAGGGTATATACAGTTTAACAAGTTAGTAAGTGTTTGTGTTGATGTCCATAAAGGTGTTTTCTTGCATAGAGACCGTGGGGCTTTGGCACAGCGGCTTAGAATCCACCCGTTCATCTCATTTAAGCAAGCTCACTGTGCAAATAAACAAACCACTTTACTCTAGTCTATATTCTCATTTCCAGAGCACAAAACATGTGTTTTTGTCCCACAACCAATTGGAGTCCTCTCTTTATACACTGAGCGACACCTGCTGGCTTTTTTAAATGAGTTTGAATTCAACCCGCCTTGTGATCCAGTCTTTCTACCAAGACGTGTTCAATGGAAACAATCGGAGCAAATATCCAACATTTATGGACATTTGTCATTATCTATGGACATTAGTCATCTGCCCCTTATGGACCAATGGCTCCATGTATTTTTATTGTTGCAATTCTTGTGTTGAACTATTGATTCTCTGATCTGTGTTGGTGTCCTTCGAGAACTTCTGTTGTGATTTAGGTCTATACAAGAGTAAATTGAATTGAACATAGCAGTATTTTTAGTCAGCAATGAACCCAAACTGTTTGATAGTCTGTTGCTTACTTGTGGGTCAGGTGAAGAAGGACAATACTTTCTAACAAGCCGTGCCGCTGATCTTTCCTTTATTAAGTGTCCTTTGTAAAAATACGATTGAAAACGTTGATATTGCTCCATTAGGACAATGAGGAGATACGCATTATTTGATTGAAAACTGCTCCTCAATCTTTTCATAATATTGAGATTCAACTGACAACAACGGAATATACACCAGTCAAAGTGTGCACAACACTATCTGTGAATCTTTTGTCAGGAAAAAAACTCATTTAAATATCTATGCTGATGAAGAAGACATTATGCTTTGGTTTATTTAAATTAACCCAGTAATTACACAAAACCCCAAACTATTCAGCTTCACAGACAAGTCCACATGAGTGCTTCCTCAATTTCTGATTACAAAACCCAAGATACCAGATTATTAATATTATAATTTTGAATGGAAAATATACCCTTCTGAATAAAAGTCACCTGTTGACTAATCTTGGCTTACATAATGCTGGTTTTTAGTACTTTCTGACGGCACTACAGCCCTAGTGATGATGACTCAAAATGATTTGAACTTCACCATCTCCGGCCGTTGAACTTCACCATCTCCGGAGTCCAGTCGCCCACTTCTGCTGTCGTCACTCTCTCTGACTCACACCACTGTGTTTTCAAGTTATTTCAGGTTACATTTATGGTGCATTGGTTTTCTGCAAAGACGGCACACAAGAGTTTTTCATGAGGATATCTTTATGTGAGATTCAGTAATGATCGCCAAGGATCAGCTTTGGTCCAGAACTTATCAGTACCTTTTTTTGGTTTGGAGCCGATTTTAATCTTTTGGAGAAGTTGTCATTAAAAAGTTGAGGACATTTGTGAGAATGTTTGGACATTGGTTAACACATTACCCCATGGGCCAATGACTGTGACGTCCACCGATACATCTACTGGGATTATGGGAAATGCAAGAAGAAATTGAATTGATAAACATTTGTATGGAAACATTTAGAGAAGTCTATTCTCTGAGCCACAGGAAGCCAGTGCGGAGCCCTGAGCGCCGGACCATCAGAAACACTGACTCACTACCAAACTTTAAATCTGTACTCAAAAACCACCTTTTCAAACAACCTTTTCCGTAAACCCCTTTTTTATCTCATTGTATTTTATTCCCA